TCCGCCCTCGCCCCTGCTCCCGCCCCCCCCCTTTCTCCAGCCCCCCCCGGCCTGCCGCAGTGCCCGCACTGGGCAGTCGCACCTGCCCCCGCACTGCGGCGCCCCCGGCTGGCCCGGAGCTCACTCTGCCCGAGCTGCGCGCGGTCGGGGGGCCTTGCGCCCACCTTTGGCTGTGAGCCGCTTTGTTGCGCTCCCAGCCCCTCGGTGGGCAGCTCTGGCCTCTGCCTTATTCCGCCCTCCTCCCCATCCTTCCCTTCACTTCATCCCTGGCAGAGGTCGCTGGGTCCCCGAACAGCGCAGCCTGAGCGCTCTATTCTCTCGGGGTGGTGCTGAAACGTTTCTGCCAGGAGACACCGGCTGGGGGGGGGGGGGGGGGCCCCACCCCGGGCCCCCAGGCCCGCCGGCGAAAGGGCGTTCACGCAGCCCTCCTTTCCCGCTCCCACTCACGCCAATAAAAGATGGATGAAATGATTTTGGTTTAGATGAATAAATAAATAAACAAAAGCTTGTTACCTGCCTCTGCATTTGGAAATGGCCACTTGTCCCCAGAACAAAAGGCTGCAGGGTGGGGACTGGAGTTGCAGACCCGGTTCTTTTGTTTAACTTTAAAGCACGGATTTTCCCTTTCAGCTAAAAAGAAAACAACAACAACAACAACAATAACAACAACAACAAAAGTGAGCAGAAAGCCAGTCATGATTTTTCATTCGGAAAAAAAAAAAAACAAGAATAAGATTTCAGAAGTGGAATGCTTTATCTGAACGTCTCAGTAATCCATTTTCAGGCTATAAGCCTTTGATCTGCTTCTCAAACTGGGTTTATTTGCACATTTTATTCCTTGGAAAATCACACGTACTGACTTTGGGTGTGGCTATTGTGGGAATTAATGACTGGGTGTTTTAAAATTATTTTCTTTATGTAACATTGCTGGGAAATAACATATTAAGAAGTGTCTGTTCATCTCCAGAATTTTCAGGATCACCTATTGTGGTGCCAAGAGAGGAATCATCACGCCCATTTTTAGAGATTGGGTACGCAGAGAGGCAGGAAGGGTGAGGGACAGACTCAAGGTCATATTGTGAAGCAGTGACAGGAGGACCGGTACTGCAGTGTCACTACTTGCTTGGCCGGGTCAGATGGTAGTGCAGGCAGGCTAACGTCAGAGGAAGATTCAGCAGGCGGTTTTCAGACCTTGTCTTTGTACAGTCATCCACTTGTGGGCAGCGCTCAGTGCAGGGAGGTGGCTCGGCCATCACCTTCTGACTACAGTTATTTTCCTGCTTTGTTACTGGCCTGATCGTCCTTTGCTGGGGTTTATTCAAGCCTCTTTCTGTCAGAGGAGAAAATATGCTGCCAAGGAATTCTGTGATGTTGGTCCTAGCTTTATTTTGTTTTACACTGCCAGCATTTAGTACTAAGATCCAGATTTGTCTTTCTAACAAAAAATAGTTTCAATTTAAAAAAAAAGCACAAACCATAGGCTAGCAGTTCACTGAATTTTCACAAAGTGAGCATACCTGTCTTGTCCAGATAAGAAACAGCCATAGTCATCCCAGGAGCCACCCCGCCCACCAACCCCAATGTTCACTTTGCAATCAGCATGCTTTTTTGATTTTTAATTCCCTAATTTGGTCAGATTTTTCCATAGATCTCTGAAATGGTTATATCGATCTCATTAAGAATCAACCAAGTGTGTGAGCACAGCCCTTTCCCCCAGGGTAGTAACAGATGTTGCTGATCCTCTGGAGAGTGCTCTCCTGGGTCCAGGGGTCTCCTATGCAGCTCACATTGCCCTGCCTTTCAAGGAGAAGTGAAAATCCTGCTTCCCAGGATTTTCAGACAGTGGGAGATGACTTAGCAACAGGGAGGCAGGCTCTGTTTCCTTGGCATGACACACTGCTGCTTTAGAGGGCAGATTGCAGCTGGGCCTCCTCCAGAGGTCACTCTGATGCCACTGCTATTGTTGCTGGTGCCTGCAGGCTACATTATGTGAAGCAAGATGGAGCTGCTCCAGGGGGCTCAGCTCTGATTGTGAGCTGCCTGCAGGCTGGGAAAACAGCTTCTCATCTGTTAGCTTTCTTATTTCCCCTTCCTTTCCCATCCAAACTCAAGCACTGTGCAGTTAGAGACCCTGGAGACTGGTATATTTGCCATCTGATTGATTACCCAGGGCACTCTGAAAAATAGTCTCGACTCCTGCAGAGGGATGGTAAATAATGTAGTAAAAACAATTGGCCTGAAACACCCCAGTATGGATGCTAAGAGCTTCTTGAGCCCAGGGAAGAAAAATGGTTGCTCTTACTTGCTCAGTTGTGTTCGAAAAGCACAAAGTCAAAAAGAGTTGATCATTTCTTTCCCCAGAGCTTCAAACAATAGTGCTTCCTTACACTGGTCCAGCTACACTGATGTAGTTATATAGGACTTGATTCCACCATAGTGACTACCACCAACTGACTCATTTGTCCCTCCTCAATTAGCCCCAATGTGGCGTTAGCTTAATTTATTTTTAGAAAAATGCTGTCATTTGGTATATTTCAATACATAGGCTCTACACAACAATAACCTGACAAACTGAATTTTAAAGCCTGGTGCAATGTGTTTTCATTGTTTCATGCCATTCTTTTTAAAGAAACTAAGCCATCTACATGTTAGCTTGAGGCTTTCAATTACTATTATAAGGCAACTATCCCTCTAGGTGACACTGGGAATGAACAAGATGTGCTCCTGAGAAAATAGATAACTGTAATATCCACTGCCTTGGATCTTTAGATGTGAGTTGAGCTGGTTACAATCTAACAGTCTGATGTTGCTTTACCCATTATGCTTCTGTCCAAGATGGCAGGCCAGGAAATTAAGAGCCTGGGAAAGCTTCGGGATTTAATTTTCATTTTCTTCTAGCAAGGAAAAAAAAGTGAAAACCATATATGGTGGGAGTTAAAGAGATGCTAGAATGTGTTACTTTTATTATATTTGTCTTCACACTTCCAAAGTCAGAAGGCAGATGGATTATTTTGCTTGCGCTGCCTAATTGGCGTTACCCACTAAGGGCTCTGTGATCCAAGTTAAAACACAAGCCGGTCAGTCCTCAAATGGAAGGTCATTAAATTGGTGCTTTTCTGTTAACCTTCCCTAAGAACTTACTTCCCAAAGTAACCTCTAACTTTTAGATTAAGAAATAAATTCTTATAAATCACTGTTTGTTTGCTTCTGTTGTAAGATGTTATCTAAGACAGTGAGTTTTTCACTGCCAATGCTTTGAAATGATGTTCTTTAAGATGTCATTTGCATTACACACAAATGTGTTACAGACATTAGATTACAGGCTTTGTAAAGAGAAGAGCAAACCAAAGGTTGGGTCAAAGGAAACCAGGGAAATCTTTTCTCTAAAAAGCCGCTTAGCATTTTCTTTTTAGTTGTTTCTCTGGACTTATACTTGTGTTCTAGGTTCAGGTTACCTTTTAGTGTTGTTTTCCAAACAGAATCATAGGATTATAGGCTGGCTGTTCTGATATTTACAAGAAATACTCAAAAGCCTGTTTCTCAAAGGGAACAATTAAATTGGACCCATTGAGGAAAACAGCTTATGAAAGGCCCACGTAACTGTCACATGGAACCCCTGAGCTTTGCATGCACTGGTGGTCCATTCGTTTTCCTTCCTTTGGTCTACTGCTTCTATTAGAAATATACAGTTTTCATCCATTAAAGGAGAGGCGCTTTTTTGGTTTTTATTAAACCCCAAATTCCTCCATCATCAGGGTACACTTGGCACAATGTAGCCTGCATACCCGGAGACCTACGCTCCTCTCCCTTCTTCACCTCGACTTGTTCTGAAATGGCCTTCCCCTTTTTTCCCCATCTGTTAAAACCACGTGCATGTTGGCTTCTTTGTGCACTGCTACCACCTGGAGTGAGAGAACTGAAAAGAAAAGATGGTTGGATGCTTCCTAGTCACCTGGGATGGACCTGGTCAGTAGTGCTTGCTTCCCAGGGCTGAGCCAGAAAGGAGCATTCTTGAGTGCCAGATGCCCCTTGAGCCCAGGCATTTGAAACACAGAGGCTTATTTACTACCTCCAGTGGCTCCAGTTGTTAGCCCCTGGGTAGTCCAGTCAGAGTGAAGTCCTCTTATTGCTACAAAATCAAAGCCTCAATCAAGAGCTTGTCCTTGGAAATAGAGGATCATCATCAGAAAAAAAAAAAAAAAAAAAAAAAAGGGGAGGGTGAGGTGTACAGCTTGTGTTCCCTGCTTCCAAATCTCTTCAGACCCTCTTAACAACACCTGGGCATCCCCTCTGCCTATGGAGTCCAGACCCAGAACATGACAATGGCTTATCATCATGAGGGTTCCGACTTTGACTCCCAGTTAGGCAATAAAGGAGGCAGATCTAGAAGATTAGTAAAAAGCAATCAATCCTTACTGAGATTAGTCTCCCTTTATTAATAATATCCAGCATAAGGGACCAAGTCATAACTAAGTCTCTTATTTCCAAAATTGATATGGCTCTAAAACGTTCATTTCCACCTAAAGTAGCCAGCGAGTTCATTGTAATCTTTATTTTATAAATTGCAGCAGCGATTGTGCATCATTAAGAAATACTTTGGCTGGAAATTGCTATCTTAGAAAGAACCTTGAAGTTTTCATTTCATTGGGAGTTTGCACATGGGAAGTTATTTTTATTAGCTGTCTACTTGTTTAATTTAAAAATTAGCTCAATGATTTCTTAAGGTTGAGCATTTTTTTCTATTGTCTAGTTATAAATGTAAAATGCATAAATGAATATAAAGCGAACATTTCACCACTTGTGTCGTGACAGGGGGAAAATGACGAACAACAGTGCAAGGGCAAGTGGGTACCTAGCCCCAGATGAAGTCATTCAAATAATGTAGCCATTTAGATGTTACTTAGAACAAAGATGGAAAAATAGTATGAATTTAATTTAAATACATATGTCTCATTATTAACTTATTGACCCAGCTTGACAAGCCGGAAGACAAAGTGGAGCTCCGTCAACAGTCCCAATTAAGCTACTCAGACAGAAACTCAATGGCTTTCTACACGAGGCTAGTATAGAGTGTATATGTTGAAGTAAAATATTCTAATGAATTCAGACCTCTCAACCTGTCAAGCTCTGTGGGGAACAAAAAGAAGCCATTTATCATTTCTCCACTAAAAAGACTCACAAACTCTCAACATGCCTTTCTTGTTAAAATTTAAATATTCCATTAGCACAAATGCAAACTGAGGCCATTTAATGTTTCCAGGGAGACTCATAAAATTTCCCCTTATAATTTAGCCTCTCCTTAGGAATGCTCCTTGGGAATGTTAACTCTTTCTTGTCTGAATTCTTCCCGTTAGTCCTATGAGAGATTCTGCCTCTGTCTAAGGGGAATACGGCTGTTTGAAAAAAATCTTCCTCTGATGGAAACAGTCTTTGTCCAACAATCTAGAAGCTCAGGTATCAGAATTACAATTTCAAAGGCAGCCTGGACTAGATAGAATAAGTTCTGGGCTGGTTTGGTTGTGTAGTAAGATCCTGTCTCAAAAAAAAAAAAAAATTGAGAGAGAATGACGTTGAAGATAGCTTTACATGTACAGTGAACTGAGAACCACATTCTTTTAAATGATATATATCTAATATATATTTAATTAAGTTATTACATGTATTTATGATATTGTTATATATCTTTATTGTATGTATAATGCACATGATCACTCCTAGGATAAGAACATTTAATCAATCATAAACGATGGTAAATACAGGCATACATTAAGGATTTAGAGGTCGGTTTCATGCACTGCTACTTAATCCCTGTAGGCCAATGGCACAAATATTAGTCAACCAATCAATCAGTCAACCAATCATTGGCCATTTGTTAGAGATAGTTCGCTTTCAGAGTTAGACCTAAGGGCTCAAGCCCTTCTCTTTAGGAGTAGGATAATAAATATTTGTTGGTTCAGAAGTTGGCCCCTGGCAGTTAAGGATGCTCATACCAGTGTATAGTCATGGTGCTATGTACTGGCTCCATCATGAACAATCTGTGGAGGAAAGTCTAAGCACTTACACATGAACACAAATACACATGAGCTGTCTTGGCTTATGGGATTCACAGGTTTTCCAGGCTTATGCCCAGTTTTCTCCTGACTTGATGTTCTCTGTGTTCCCTCTGAGGCATCCCTTTTGGGATGAGGAGGGGGAGGAGAGGTAAGGAAGAGACTTAAGAGGTGTGGCCTGAACCAGAAACCATCATCATTCTCATTCTTTACTGTGGGTTACTTTGGCCCCTAATTGTTCCTTCCAGGCTAGTGCAAGGAAGTTCATGCCCTTTCCCAATCCCATCAGAGTCTTATCAAGTATAAAAAGTTGCCAGTTTTCTGTTTCTTTTCTTCTGGATAAAAAAAAAAAATCAACACAACTTACAATTGTGAATGAAAACACTCCCTGACAAGTTGATTAGATAAAAGAAATGACTGGTAGGAGTCTCAGGCCAAGCCTGGAGTTCCACATGCTTACTACGGATCACACAATTTTGGATTGACATCCAGAGGTCAAGAAACTAAGGTGAAAAAAATGAGTACAGAAGAAACCACACAAGCACACTGCAAGAACATCCTTTGGAAACCAGAGGCCTGGGCTTGAATGGTGGCTTCCCATCCCACTTGCATCTGACACTGACGTGTAGTCTTGGATCCTGAAGAAGCTGAAGAAGCTGGCATTGGTGTGCAGCCTCTTAGCTGCCCTTTCTCTCTGTTCTTCAGTCTGCCATTACCCTAATAACTGTTTTCTTTGCAGCCTCCAGCAGTGCTGCATTTATGTTTTATGAAGGGCAGAACCTCAGCCCCACTGTCAGTTCTCTGTCCTGTGTCTCAGTGGAGGGACCTCTCCTTCTCCATCTGTGGGCATCCATTGCTAGTCAAGGGACTCTCCAGAAAAAGGCACGAGAAACCTTTGTAGGGGTGCTTTCCAAGCCTACTGGGAGGTGCCTCGCTGGAAGCCTGCCAACTGTCTTCCTTTTCCTCCACAGGGATCCGATCATGGGACACAAACCTGATTGAATGCAACTTGGACCAAGAACTCAAACTTTTCGTATCTCGACACTCTGCAAGATTCTCTCCTGAAGTTCCAGGTGAGGCTTCTATTAGTGTTAGCCTAGATCTTGAAAGAGGTGTGGCTATTGGCTGGAAAGCTTTGCCTAGCATATAGGTGGTGGGGGGAAGAGAAGTAGGGGACATGACAAAAACAACAACAACAAAAAATCTTCCTCTCATTGTATTTTGTTTGTGTCAGTGACTTTAGCCAGTAGCCACAACCTAAGAAAGTAGAATTTAAGTGATTAACATGTGGGTTATTTAGGGAATGGATTCTAGGTGGGAGGGTTCAAAGTTCAGGTTATTTCCCTTTTTTGTTTCAATCTCTCTGACATGAAGGGATTACAGACTGCTTCAGTATTAATTTTACTCAAAGCTATGAGTATAAATTGGGTGTCCCAATGATCCTCCAACTCCCTTCTCTAGAAAGAAAAAGGAAGGCCACATGGCATTTCAGACACAAAGGACGTTTTTCAGTTCACAGATCTTCCTTAGTGTGGGGAAGAGTCTGACATTCCAGCCTTATTATTTCAGAATAAAAAAGAGAATCAAAGGTAAGGACACAAACAATGGTCACATATGAAGTTGTTCCCTGACAACCCTCTCAGTGAGGATGCTCACCACCCACATCTCTGCTTTGGTGATAATTTATGCAGAATCATCTCTTCTTCCTTTGTGAGCGATGCATTTCTCCCATCTGGTCCCATTTGGGCATCATAAAACAGTTTTCTCAGTCATGAACTTTCTAAACCCAGGTATGTCAGTCAAAAGGGTTGCTATTGAAATGGTAACGTTTTATTTTTTGACTATTATTTGAAACTTGTGTAAAATCAGGAGTTTTCTGTCTATATGCCTCTCTTCTCTGTGCTCTTATTGGCATTAACAGAACATCAGGAATGAAGGTTAGACTTTTTAGATGATTAGATCATATTCCATTATCCTGCATGTACTGAGATACCAAACCATGTGTGTGGAATGTCGATGCCTTCATGAGACATTCTTAACTCAGTAATATGGCCATGGGACCGCCCCTTACTTTTCCTCTTGAATTTGAGATTAGAATAAAACCCCATACATTTCAGTGACCTGCAACTGTAGCTTTCAAGCACAGAACTTAGAGAAGATGGTAGGTGAGGGGTGGGGTGGGGAGGACGCTGTCTAGGGACCATCAGCCCGTACTTAGCTGAAGGCTAGGTGCAGCTTAAGGTATTTTCTCATTATTCTGTTTTATTTTCATGCCTTGCAAATCCCTGTAACCACCTCATAAAAAATAAGTGCTCTTTGACAAGTATGTTTGTTTCAACAAGTAAAAGCCAAGTGTCTCTGTAGGTTCTTCCCCCTTTCTGATTTGTAAGACTTTTTCTTTCTCTTGTAAACATGTGGCTTTCATTGTATACGTTCGTATTTGGATTGTCTTTATGTGAAGACAAATGTGTATTGCAAAATGAAAGATTGCAAAAAACTGCTGAAGAGTTAACACTCTCTGGACTAAAGCCCTATCTTGAACTGTTCTGGAAACTAGAAAGAGAAATCTCTACAAATTGCATGTTAGCCTGATTTATCCTGTTCCTCCTGCTGTCTCCTGCTAAGAACAGGTCACCTATCAAGTAGTATCAGGGCTGGGATTGGGGACTGGCTTCTGTATGAACAGTGCCCTTAGCATTCTGGCCAGCTGCAGAATAAGTTACTATTTAGAGTGTCCCTCAGTGTGCCCCAGCTTCCCTCTGAGCAAAGCCAATGCATGGTGCCCCTGTGGAGGCATGGAGTTTTCTAACTCAGACTCTACTACAGTTTAAGTATTCTATATCTAAAATGTTTAGAACCAGAAGAGTCTCACATTTTTGGAGATTTTGGGTTTGGGGTCTTTGTATCTTTAACCCCCAAATCTAAAATTCTTTAATCCAAATTCTAAAACCTGTCAATACCAAAGGCATGATTCATATTGAATCTCAAGTGCTGTGGAAAGAGGCTAAAGGGCAAGAACACAGATTGGGTGGAGATAGCAAGATGATCCTTACTTTGAGCTCAAGGAAACCTTTATCAAAGTTTCCTGAAAACACCAAAGAAATTTAGTCTAATTCTCCTCTACCTGTCTCTTCCCCACTTACTTGAAACTCATTAAAAGCCGAGTTGTGTCTCTCAGGCTACTTAAAGTGGGATCAGCCAAGCCTCGTTTAGAGTTTCAAAAGTCTAAGTCTATTTAGAGACAAGGAATATGATTAATGATGGAGTCCTTAAAAACAAACAAACAAACAAACAAAAAACCCAAAAAGAAATAAACAAAAAAACCCAGGACGTTCAGTTGCTTTATAACTATTTCAATGGAGCCTAGCATATGCCATGAACTCTGAAGGGTGAAGTGAGTAACAGAATAACTGTGACCTTTGTCACACTTCTGCTCTTAGGGGAGGAAGAGGCATCTAACAGTCACACACACAGCGGCATAAAGTCCTGCACTCTAGGCATAAAATAGGTTTATTTGGCCAGGTGTTGGTGACACATGCCTTTAATCCCAGTACTGGGGAGGCAGAGGCAGATGGATCTCTGTGAATTTGAGGCCAGTCTGGTCTATAGATCGAGCTCCAGGACAGCCAAGGCTACACAGAGAAACTCTATCTTGAAAAACAAACAAACAAACAAACAACAACAACAAAAAAACCCAAATTTGTTGTTGGTTGGTTGGTTGGTTGATTTGGGTTGGTGAGTTTTTAACTAGCAGCCTTATTGTAAAATATTTGTAGACTCAGTAGACAAGGGCGCATGCGGATGTCAGGCCCATTGTACATTTATGTTCATTGTTAATTCCTTTATTATTTTTAAGAATCAGAGATCATATATGAAAAATTAGTATTGGCTTAATTGCAAAGGGCAGACCATGTGGGTGGAACTAGGCCCTTACTCTCATACTACTGTAGACTTTGTATTGGGGCTTTGGGGTTCAGTGGGAGTCCAATCATGTCTCAATCAAAAGTAGTCTGATTTGTCATTCAGAACCTGGGATATAGGTAGCCCTTTGTACACTAGATGGCTTGGCACAGTGTGAATCCTTCAGAACATCAATCCAGAGGTCTTGAAGTCCTATCCTGTAGCATTGGCAGACTATATAATTTGGGGACTTGTTAGCCACTGAAGTCTACGCCAGTGTCTCTAACCAGCTGAGCATGGACTTGCCTCACGCACACTCCTGCTGCTGTGTACCAAGGCCATTCCCTGCAGATTTTCCCTGATTGAAGCTTTCTGGCCCTGTGAGACCCGGCCTAGCAGGCACAGTGGTTCTGAGACAACAGCCTATCTTTCACTCAAGAGACAGCTCAGCAGCTGAGACTTTGTAACATAAAGCAACATGTTATATGTCCTTCTATTTCTGAGTCCTCATGGCATCATAAAGCTTTTGTTTGTGTATATGATTTTTGTGCCTTAATGATGTTGGATTTGAGTCATTGTTGCAGGTCTCCAGGAGTAAGAATCAGCAAGACCTTTAATGGAAGCTCAGGCTTGCTGTGATGCATAGAATTCTATTCACTTCCATTTCTATTGTTTCTTCCCCAAGCTTAACTGTAGTTACAGGCAACATTATCTTCTGAGGGCATAGGAAATATCCCATAATTTTGATGGAGAGACACCTCTCTCATACAAAAACAAAAAAAAAAAAGGGGGGGGGGAAGGAAGGAAGGAAGGAAGGAAGGAATTCCCCAAAGAGAACACCAGTTTCATTCAGTCTTCTCTTTACTCTCCCTTTGTCACTTTTATCTGTTTTTTAACATAGTTAAATTTTTTGATAACCCAGTTCCTTGCCATCAGCACAATGCAACAGTTACAGATTCTGGAGCCAGCTCCCCACATTTGTTCTTAGCCCTGTCATGGATTTTTTTTTTTCCTGAATGACCTTGGGCATTCATCTCACTTTCCTTGCTTGTAAAACAGAATGCTTACTTCAACTTCACAGTTTTTGTGAAGACCGATTGAATTAATGTTTATAAACACATTGAGACCTATCTTCTGGAGAACGAAATATAAATGAGTAGCCATTTCCCATCTTCACAAAGAAAATCTGGGGGACTTGTATGTGTGGTGATTCTTATTGTCTGTGGGAAATACCAAGTTCCTGTAATAATTTTTAGTTTATATCAATGATGATCCTCAGAAACAGTTGCCTTTGGCATTCTCAGAAGGTGTGTCTCTGCTCCTTTTGTGTAGGGGCAGCAAGATCCTTTGAGTTTAGTCTCAGATATATGTTCAGCATTACTCTCAGTCCTTGGGGCACCAGAGCAAAAGGAAGGCAATGTGCTAGAGTACTGAGGAGTAGAGCAGAGGTTAGACCGTTTGCAACATGGCCTGCCACACTGAAAACAAGGATGGTGACATAGTGGGAGAGCCCTAGCTGTCTCCCTTATTGTGGTGACCCACCCTTCCAAACCTTTTAATCCCACCACCATTTCCTCTTCTCTCTTCAATACACCAGTGACTAGAGTCTCTGCCAATTTTAAGAAACTCAGATTTCCTGTGGTTTATTTTCTCACCCAGCTGAATAAATAGTACAACTTTGGCATATTTACATTCTGTGACTAGTTTTATCGCTACTAGATCACATTCACAAAGGCCTTCATATGGTTGTGACTGATTTTGAAATGTGCACCCAGGCGGTTCTGTTTAAGGACTCATGTCTTTCCTGTAGATGATGAAAGACAAACAAACTGCAGGTGAGCATCTTCAGGTCTGTGCTCACCTTTTCTGGAGCTTGGTGTAGGTAGAGAATTAATGCCAACCCTTTCAACTGCGTGCATGAGAATCCTTTCCTTTCACATTAATGAGTTGAGGTCTCATGACAAACATGTAAAAGATACAACTATTTTTGTGATATGTTTATCATATTTCTGTGCCTAGTCCTGTATAGTTAGTCATTACATAGAATTGTGGCTCAGTGGCGTTTGCAGAGTATATCCACTGCTCTGTGATGGTGAATTATGGATATATTGTCAGCTTTGCTCTCAGCCTTTAAGCAACAAACACACAAATACAAGCTCCCGTTGCATTCAAG